GTTGGAATTTCCGCAAGATGTGTTTGCTCTTTAAAAAGCCTAAATAATAGCTATAACAGTAAGAGGTCAGTGCCTGAGGGGTCTTACACATACATATACTCTATATATTTTACATTTATGTATATGTATATGTAACATATGCACATCTACTAAAGTAATATGACAATTTTAAATGCATGACTATAATGTTTACTCATATGTTTGTGTGTATTTACATATACTTATGAATATATATATGCACAACAATATAAGGAAATAATATTTAAAACTAAGTAGACTTTAGCACACAGATTAACCGACATAGTTAATTGGCCGAAATAAATTTTATGAATGCAAAAATAACACAGTGGTTTTATTAATATTTATTTACACACATATGCACATACATATACATACATACATATATATATATAACATATGTATATGTATGCACGTATTTTGGGGTAGTTTATAGTAGAGAGAAAATTTCGACGGCCCATAATTCATGTAAATGCCATTTTAGCTGATTAATATTTTGAGTCACGTGCCTGGCGGCAAGTGTGGGCTCATCTCGCAGCACAACTCGAGCCTACAACGGTATATAATGAAATCATTTATGAAGATTTATTGCCGCACGTTGCATGTCGAGTCATCAGCTTCGCACTCATCGGCAACAAAGCAGTTTAGCTACCAGCTACCAGCAGCAGCAGCACTACTAACACTACAACAATTGCCGTAACCGAAAATATTTTGTTGCACGCGCTCAAATGGCGCAACAGATGTGCCCGGTTGCCATTGAGTAAAGTATTGCATGTTGCAACTGCTATGTTTAGTCCGTTATTTACACTTGTGAGTTTTTGCGCCAAAGGCTATCCCACAGCAAAGTACTGTCGTTTGTTATTCCAAATATTCTACTCATCTTGCAATATAAACTGCAGCACGTGCATTCCATCACTATGCGGGCGAGATTGTACGAGCACATAATTACCCCTAGACAGAGTGACGCTGTAGAGTTTCAACATACATACGATATATGGATATATGTATATATGCACACGGTGTGTGCTAAAAATAAACGAACTTTATATTTAAATCATACAACATACAGCGCCATCTATTGAAAATTTGCAACATTAAAAAGATACATTCATCCTCTTTCAAACGCACCCAACATCATGTAAGTCGGATGACAGATGTAAAAGTGACAGCCATTTCAATAAAACCAAAAGTGTGCTAATGGTTCAAAAATAAAATGGAACAGAGAACAAATATAAAATTTTGTGTCAAACTTGAAAAAAAAAATTTATGAAAAAAGTTTATTGTGATGATTGTATAAGTCGTACGCAAGTTTATACGTGGTTTACACGATTTAAAAATGGTCGAGAGGATTTAAATGACGAGCCTAGAGCAGGACGTCCAGAAACTAGTAATCGTGCTGAACTGGTGGAAAAAGTCCGTGAAATCATTGGCATCGATGCAAATTTTACTATGAGAATGTTGGCTGAGGAATTGAATACGAGTAAAAACACTATTTGGAGAATTTTAACTGAAGATTTGGGGAAAAGAGAGGTCTGTGCGCGATTTGTTCCACATGAATGAAATGACGACCAAAAAATATCTCGAATTTTTAATGAAAAAAAGGATTTCTATCATCGACCATCATCCGTATTCGCTCTCGATCTATCACCATGTGACTATTTTTTATTTCCAAAACTGAAAACCAAAATGAAGGGAGCATTTTATGATGATATCCCAGCCATTCAAGCAGCCGTAACCGAGGTACTGAAGAACATTTCTATAAATGACAAAAAATCTATGCATGCGCTGGTTGATCGTTCCAAACGTTGTGTTGAGTCAAATGGAACTTATTTTGAATAAATAATAACTTTCAAAGATAATATAATGTGTATTTTATTTTATATCGAAAAAGTTCGGTTATTTTTGGGACACACCGTGTATGCATGTACTTTGACATGGTTGTATTCGTAATTTGTGTTCGAAATCGCTAAATCAGTAACTGTTCTTAATGAATCTCACTTCTCAGTTTAATTTAAAAATAATGTCGCTGTGAATTGTGCAAACTAAAGTTGAGAGATATTGATATTGGTACTTCTTATGCATATACATATATTTTCTAATCTTAAGCTCAACTAGCCGAACCGTTAACCATTGTTATGGCTCACTATATTTTCCTCAATTTTTATTCTAAATAAATCAGATGAGATCACCATTTGATTTCAAGATTTTTATTATCAGGAGTACAACTTTGCTTCCGCCGTTTTTTTTTTTCCAAAATTAAAAGCTTTATTGCGAAAAAGTGCTAACAGATATATTATTCAAAGTATTGTCTTTCGCTTTAAAGGCATTATCATCTATGTATTTCAACCAGCCTCAGCCGGTACAGCCACCTATCGGAAAAGGGCGGAAGTAAAGTTGTACACCTGATATAACAAAACATAAAAAAATAAATGAAATAAAACTGAAATTTAATAAAGTACGATAAACTAAGATGAAATAAATTGAATGAAATTTAATAAGGTTGAATAATAAATAAAATAACAAAATAAGACGAAAAAATAACCTATAAAATAAAACACAATATATAATATAAAATAAAATGGAAAAAAAGAATAAAAAAAGGTAAAGTTAAAAATAAAAAAGTTAATAATAAAAAATAAATAAAATATATGAAATGAAATGAAATAAAATATAATAAAGTAAAATCGAATAAAAAATGGAAAATAGAATTAACTATAATAAAATGAAACAATATAAACTTAAATTAAATTAAAAAATAGAAAATATCAAACAAACTAAAAATATCTAATACAATAAAATGTGAAATAATTTTAATAAAAAAAAAATTAATTAAATAATTAGACAAAATAAAACAAAATCAGACAAAATAAAATAAAATAGACAATTAGAATTAATTAAAATAAAATAAAATTTTTAAAATACTAAATCAGATAAAGTAAAAGAAAACGAAATAAAGTAAATTAAACAAATTAAAATTAAATGAAATAAAATAAAACAAAGTACAAAAATGAACAAATAAGATTAAAAAAATAAATTTTATTAAAATTAAATAAATTAACAAAAAATAAAATTTAAAAAATTCAATCAAATAAATTACAATAAAATGGAAAAAATTAAAATTAATTTAATTGTAAAATAAAATAAATTGAAATACAAATAAATTAAAATAAAATTAAAATTAAAAAAAAATTAAATAAAATAAATTACAATAAAATGGAAAAAATTAATTTTAATTAAATTGTAAAATAAAATAAATTAAAATACAAATAAAATAAAATTAAAAAAAATTAAATAAAATAATTACAATAAAATGGAAAAAATGAATTTTAATTAAATTGTAAAATAAATTGAGACAGAAATCCAATAAAATAAATTAAAATGGACAAATAAAATTAATTGAAACAAAATAAAAAATGCAATTAAATTTAAGAAAATAAAACAAGGTAAAAAAAATACAATTTATGAAACAAAATAAAATGGAGAAGTAGAGCTAATTTATATAAAATAAAATTCATTTATAAAAAAACAATTATAACAAAATAAAGCGAAATAAAATTATATTGTATTAAAAGAAGGAAATTAAATAAAATCAGAGAAAAATTTAAATTAAATAAGACATAATAGAATTGATTAAAATAAAATAAGGTGAAATATAAGATGAAAACTAGTTAATAAAATAAGCTAAAATAAAATACAATATATAGCACAAAAATATATAATATATGTATTATTAGCAGTTCATAACGGATGAAATAAAATGAAACAAAACAAGTTAGAAAACCTGAAAAAATTAAAATTAAATGGATCAAAATAGCATATATCCCATTAAACAAACAAAATTAAAAATTAAACAACAAAATTAAAATAAAATATTAGAAATAAAAATTAAAATTAAATAACTCTTTGTTTATACACGGCGAGATTGACATAGTTCACTAAGAGATGAAAGAAGAGACAGCGCTTATATTGGCTAGGTAATACGGCCGGTGGAAACAGTGGCAGAAGAAGGTCTCCACACGGCAGGAAAGACCAGCTAGAGAAGAACTTGGCTGTGCTTAGTATTTTCAAGCGCCAAACAGCGAAAGGAAGGAATGAATGGGGTGTAGTTTTTTTTACAGGCTATAATTAAATAAGCGTCAATTTTGAAGAATAAGAGGGAAAGAAAATAAAATAAATTAGTTTAGAATGAAATACAATATATAAGTGGCGATTCGTAACCGCTGAAATGGAGCGACTTAGAGTTTCTACTAAGCCACCTCCAAACGGCTGATGGTTTTTTATGAGGCGCTTTATTTCATGTCAGAAATATGATCGGAGGGGTTGACATTCCCTGCCGAGGCAATTAGAAAATTTAAATTAATTTTTTTTTTCTTAATTTTCTATTACTTAGATATTTGTCACACCCTTAAATAAATTAAAAAATATTATATAATTTAATATTAAACTAAATTTAAAAAAATAAAACAAAATAATTAAGTTCAATCGAAATAAAATAATGTTATAATTGTGAAACAAAAAAGTTAATAAATTCATATAAAATTAAAGTAAATAAAATAAAAATGATTTGATTTCAATTAAAATAATAATTGAGATTTTTAAGCACTCAATTTTGAATTCAGGCGACTTTACAGTTATGCTCCTTCTTTTTTATACATATATAACCAACAAATATTTACAACAACGTTTAGCTTAAAAGTTGCGTTGACCGGTGTAATTTTACTAACAAGACCAACAACTACACTTTACCGTCGGCTCCTGGTTTTCTTGGCGCGCAAAATTATTGTTTATTTCAGTGTCTCTCTTGTGGCGTGTGCCATTAAAATGTAAATTGAATTATTTGATTAACACACAATATGCAACAAATGTATTATTTTTGCTGCACATATCACAGGAAATATGATGTTATTAACGCGTATTAGATTAAAAAAAAATTAAATAAATTCGTAAAATTTGTTTATTTGTAAAACAAAATAGTAACTAACCTTGCATAGCGCCACCCCAACAGAGCCAAAAAAGTGCCCATTTCGCAGTGCAAAAACGTTGTAAAAATGTTGGTTGAAACTTTCCCCAGCCAAACATTTTCACAGTTTCCTTATTGTTCCTGGCATTCAGGGCGCGTGATACATTTAATTCACTCGGTTTTGACATTTCAATAAAGTTTGAATCAATTTGTGGCAATATGCCACGATTTGTTCCATTCTGTTTAGTTTTTGCGGACACGCCGATTGCAGATTGATTTGTAAATGATAAAGAATTATTTAATTGATGTGTAGCGTCCTCGAAGGCCATTGCTGGGTTGCATATATATTAATTGAGCATCAGTTTTGCTGTTATATTAAATTTTTAATTTTTTAATATTTTATTAAATTATAATTTTTTATTTTAATTCATTTTATTTAATTTAATTTTATTTAATTTTCATTTTATTTCGTTTTAATTTATTTTTTTTTTTAATTTATTTCATTCTAATTACTTTCTTTCATATTTTTTTAATTCATTTTATTTTATTTTCTGTATATAATATTATTTAATTAATTTTTAATTTTTTAATTTAATTAATTTATTTTAATTTATTTTTTTTTATTTATTTCATTCTAATTACTTTTTTTCATATTTTTTTAATTCATTTTATTTTATTTTCTGTATATAATATTATTTAATTAATTTTTTTTTAATTTATTTTATTTTTTTTTATATTGTCTTTTATGGCAAATCGCATTACTTAAACTTATGCCTCTCAGACACTTTATAACTTCAAACAACTTTCACGCACCAACCGTTTCGCAACGTCTGTTTAAGTGAAGAAGCAAAATGCAACTAAACAACAGCAATTTTCAAAGTTCATAAGCCGACCGTCAGTAACCAACAAATGAAACTACCAACCAACTCAGTGGTAACATACGTGTATAATATTAAACGCAAACGTATTGACGACTTGTAACACTCATTCAGGAAGCCGGAAGCTGCTGCGCATCTGTAGGAAACCATAGCGTAAATAGTATTTAACATTCCAATAAACTGATAGAAGTAAATTTAACAGTGTTTTCATTCATACATGTATATATATGCAATATAGCCAGTTAACAGTGCGAACAACTAACAGTAGATAAAAAGTATAAAGATATTAGCATATTTTCGACCAAACTACACCAATTTTTGGGTGTGCGTTTTGATGTTTTCCCAACAACAGGAGAGACCTACAGCTTTTTTCCCTCAGCCGCCACCGATTGTATAGACCCGGCTATAATATATATGAAGCTCTAAGTATAAAATCGGTACACTTTGCCGCTTTCGGTTTAAGAGTATAAGGCCAAGGACATTAAAAGATTTTCGCTTTAAAAATCTTATAATAAAGACGAATAATTAATGATTATTTTTCGATAAAAATGCTCATATTCTACCGAGCGGTCTACAGTTCTTGCACCAATTCGACTTTATCAGCCTCCAAGCAACATTCTACGCAAAAAAGTACATTAACAGGCCTATTCTGTCGAGGTAACAAAATTTACCTATGTATTGTATTAAAATTTACCATTCAGTAAATTTTGTTACCATTTCGTATTCTGAGCTCACTGTTACCCTGTAAATTTTGTTACCAGCGAAATTGGAGGTAACAAAAATATCTGCTGTTTGATTTTGTGTTGCAAGTTTGAGAAAAAATGAAAAACCAAAATGGGTAGGCATATTTTCGGCCTGGAATTCATTGAAGATGAAGAAAAAAGTGCAAAAAACCGTAATTTAAGATGTTTTCGAGACTAAAAAATAGTCCTTTAATTTGTTAGATAACGTTTTCATTCAGCTTTTTTTGTCGTCCAGGCATATTTGCCATAATTAGGTTCAAATATTTATGATTTAATAAACAAATTAATAAAACTTTTTAATTTTTTTGTGCACCGTCTTCCATTTCGATGTGAATATTTTTCTTTTTACTTTATCAACTGGACGAAAAAGCAGTGCTGCCAAATTTTTTCCAAACATTGTAACCAGTTCGCCAGAATACCAAATTCAATTTCAGAAAGAAAAGTAACAAAATTTACTTTACCGTTAACAGTGAGAATAGGTCTGTAAATGTTTAATTATTGCAAAGGTTGTCATGCCGATATTGATTGTTGTTCGAGTAAACTTTGAGCACACGAGTTGGTTCGTCCAATAACAAACCTGTTCGGCGAACTATCTGCATAACATGCTCCACAAACTGTCTGAAAGCCGAGTTATTTAGATCGAATTTCATGTGTACTGTTATCACGTTTGGCGTTGAAGATTCACTATTTTGGAAGTAAGTTTTCAACATTACTCAATTTTCCTCCAGCGTAAACATAACCATAAACCTAACTTTAAAACATTACAGATAGCGGAAGAGTAAATGGGAACAGTACTGGACTTTTACCGAAATCTACGGGAGTATAACAGATTTTTTTAGTGTTCCTTGTCTACCCCTAATATTTACTTACTGGAAACTTAATCACAGCAAATGAAAGGATAAAAAGGAGAGGTGAAGATTTATATACAGACAGGTCTCTTATAATTATTATAACAAAGCAGCGAAATTTTTAAAGAAGAAAAATTTTGTAAAGCAATTAGAATTACTTTATGGAAGATTTATGTAATATTCGACAGGAAGTAAAAAACGGACAAACCTGCCAATTGCTCTTCCTCGAGCCCTCAGGACCTTTTTTATGGGTTATATGTTAAAGGATCTCAATACAAATGTTGTAAAAAAAAAATAATGAAAATCTTCGATTGTTTCGATTCTACCAAATGAATGATCAACTTATTCCTTATCAGTATTCCTCTCATTATCTGACACTGTAACAGAGCAGCTAAATATTTTATAACCGTCGCGGCTCAGCCGTTCTCAATTTGATGAATGACTTACAAAAAATATTTTAGGCGTGTGGTTTTTCAATGAGACAATACTATTTTCGATGTCGGCCTTTTTGATAGCTTTTACGTGATTTGAACTCAGTTTAATTTGCCATTTCATAATGAACAGTCTAACTAAGGAACAATATTGGCAAATTCTGTAAATTTATTCAGGGGTGTTACAGAAACAGAATGTTTTCGGATTGAGAATTGAAACCGACCAAATGATGTTGAAGGGGTTACACATTCTGATTATTGCTTTGCTTATCGGTTTCATTTTCGAAAGAGAATTCGTTTCGATTTTAGATGTTACAGAAACGGATTTATCAGTTTAAATGTCAGAATTCAATTTTTCATTGCAAGCGAATATTGTATAAAAATATAAGTTATGAACAGTGGATTTTACAACCAGCAATGACTGAAATACGGTACTTGAAGTCAAAATGGTCACGTGCTCTCCGTTTTTCATTGTCGTTCATTCCAGAAAATGTACAGCGTGAGCAATTCAAACATTCAAAAGCGTTTAACATTTCTGTTATAACCACCGAGGGATATTTAAGTCCCACAGACCTTTAATAGGAGACCTTCTGCCAAAAACCGCAATGTGGCTACAAGTTGGAGCACAGGTGGTATGTACAGTCTATCTAACTGGTTTTCAATGACATCCAGCACTATTGCAAAGGCTTCTTTGTTAAGACGATATTGGATGGTTTCTCCAAATTCTTTTTTCATAAAAACACGCTGTCACTGCCGAAGTCATTTTATTTTTGGTTAATAATCACAAATGTGTTAATACCAGTACAAAAATCAAATTGAATTGTTGGGTTTTTGCGAAAGTGGGTTGACAGCTGATTCGAATATCGGTTTTGCTTATCTTCGAAAAAAGCAAAATCAAGTCGGTTTCATAACACCGTTTCAAACAGATATTGGTCTTCGATTCCAATAAATAAGCAATTCTGTTTCGGTTTCTAAAACATCACTGATTATCAAAATAATGGTCCTTTGCCAATTTAATGGATATTTTTATAAAAAAATTATCGCCGTTACATCCTCCCAAAGTCACTGTTTGCTCCATGACCACAGGGAATTATTGATTCATATTTCTTCAAAAGTGAAGCTGATCATAAGATACAGTTGATGGGAACGCTATAGAGATATGATTATAAACTTTTTCGTGCCTGAATTGGATTACGTTGATGTGGACGACCTTGGTTTCAACAAGCCCTATAGACTATACAGCCGACGAAACAATCAATTAATAGACAGATAATTTTGGTGAGTTCGTGCGATTAAACTATGAACTATTTTTAGGTCCATTGTCTACGCAGGGAGAAGGGAAGATAATATTCGGCGCATAATTGTTGACATAAGGCTCCAATTACTGCAAAATAAAGACGAAAACAGGACCTTCTCGAGAACATTATCTTTATATTGTAATAAAGCTAAATTCTTGACCATAAGTTTAAATTATATGCCAATTTCTTGTTGAAAACTACAGGTACATTAGAAAAGCACACTTTATTTAAATTAATAAAATAATATTTTGACCGATTGCACTGTTTCTATAAAATCCAAACAACACAACAACACTCACCGAGTTCCAATGCAGCCATTCTGAAAATTTGAACGAAACCGGCCTTGTGGTTTCGAAGTCTATACATTAGCAGAAGGAATTTGCTAATTGAATTTTAAAACTTGAGCAACATTAACGACAAAAATATTATAGCTAACTAAATTTAAATAAATTTTCCCATTTTCTCATTCTCAAATTATCAGGTGGAAATTTGCATTGAAATCCATTCATAATTCTTTTTTTGCCCACTTTTTATATGAGAGCGAGAGGCCGCCGTACGTCGTGTTCACACACACTGTTCGAGTTAGCATAATACGATAACATTGCTGTTAAATCGCTGTTCGAGACCAATTGCCATAACAGAACATAAATATTCGCCACCCACGCTTAAGCACTTAACACTGAATCAAATACGAGAGAAATGGTGTGAGTTCAAGAGCAAGTACGTATGTATGTAGTACTGTATTTATGTATGTACATAGTATAAATTGACATGATTGGGGTAGTAAAGTGTAAACAAATATTTCTGCCATACTTGCATATGTACATGCTTACATATACATATATGCGAATGCCTGCAGTTTAACTTTTGTGTGGGTATTAATTAAAACAACAACAATAGCAAGTAAAATATTGTCAACGCGCTCATCCAACTCACATACATGTGTGTTTGTGGTGTTCCAAGCGAATACCAATGGATATTTCATTGCATTGCCACACGACAGCTGCACGCACCATTTCCGTATCTTTTCTGGTCTTTCACATTTTGTTGACCTTCATTTTTGGTGTTGCGTTGCATATGCTTGTAAATCGTCATCAAACTGTTGCATACCACAGTAGTGAAGTGAAAACACGCTTATTCCCACAATTTCTTTGCGACAAATGCGCTGCGGCGGCACACT